TTGGACTGCCAACTTGCTAATTGCAAGATCAGCAGTTCAAAACTACCAGTAGCTCTTTGGGAGAAAGATGAGGCTCCTGTAAAGATCTAGTCTCAGAAACCCCAAAGGGCAGTTCTAATCTGTCCTTTTTGGCTGTTGTGAATCAAAATTGACTTGATGGCAGTGAGTTTTTGTTTTTGAGTAACTCTCATACCACTGTGAATCTTGGCCTAGCCAAGTAGACACAAACCCTTAAATTACATACAGGTGATATTATTTGAATATTTAAAAAACATGTACAGAAAAAATCTAGTAAGGCATACAAATAGAACTATTTATTTTAAAAAGGCAGATTTTTCTAGGTATAATTTACATACTGTAAATTTCACCCATTGTTAAGTATACAATGCAATGATTTTTAGTAAATATCTAGTTAGATAGCCATCACCATACTCCAGTTTTAGAACCTTTTCATTACCTTGCAACGTTCTATCATCTTCATAGGCTTAATTTCTAATAGTGGTTAAGCTATGCATGGAGATGGGAAAGAGAGAATTGTAGGCAGATTTCTAATTTATTGTTCCTGCATTGTTTGAATTATTTATAACACGGGCATACTATCTTTTAGCTGAAAAACAGTAAAGATTATTTTCCTATTTTGTAAAGAACAAAAAAGGTAAAAGAAATCTACGCTTTGACTCAAATCTACTTCTGGTAATTTATCCAGGACTTCAAACTGTTTTATTTGGGTTAGACACTGGCTGCAAATTTGCATTTTTTTTACCCTAGACACACAGAATCAGAATTTACAATTTAACAATATCCCCAGGTGAGTCTTATAGATCCCAGGTGATTGTATACATAAGGATCACCTGGAGAGATTGTGAAAAATGTAGATTCTGATGCAGTACATCTGGGGTGGAACTACAAATACTCAGGAGGGGTCAAACTGAAACAAACCAGGTCAAGCCCCAACTGTGTCCTAAGAAAATGACTATGTGGGAAAGGATTAGTGTCCACATAAAGATCAAAAACATTTATCAGTATTTTATTTAAAACAAAGAAAAAGTGTATATTATGTGCCTTATGATGGGGGAGGATTATTCATCATACTGAAATGTAACATTTTTACATGCAGAGCTCATATTTAGTCTCACTTCTATGAATCTTAATAAAAAATAAGAGATTATGGTGTATACATTAGTCCAAATGTATAAAATGGTACACTTGAAAAGTGTACTGCTATGGCATCGCAATCCCCTCATCTACACGGGAAAGCCGGGCAATGAATAAGGAACACTGCAGAGGAACTGATGCATTAGAATGATGGTGCTGGTGGATAATATTGAAAGACCATAGGCTGCCAGAAGAACAAACAAATCTCTTATTGGAAATTCAGGCAGGTACGTTAGACATATTATCAGGAGTCTTCCCTGGAGCAGAGCATTGTGCTTAGCTGTAGAGGGTTAGTGGAAAAGAGGAAGAGCCTCAATGAGTTGGATTGGCACTAGTGGATTGACACAGTGGTTGCAACAATGGGCTTAGATAAAACAGTTTCCAGGATGTCACAGGACTGGGCGTGTTTTGTTCTGTTGTACATAGGGTCTCTGTGAGTCAGAACCACCACCAATGTTCTATTAATTACATCTCAAGAAATCTGTTAAAATTAGAGCTTAGTCATCATAACTCTTCTTGGAAAAGGGATTCTATTACTTTATTACATGTCAAGGCTAGAGTAGGGCTTAAGAGTTCAGAGGAGTAGGTGGACAATATCTAAATAGCAATATTACCTCTGTCTCTCTCATTCACTCTCATTGAAGTCAATCGTAGAGACCGACACTGTTTACTAGAGTAGAAAGCCTGTTGGTCTCCTGCAGAGCTGCTGGCGGTTTTGAACTGCCCATCATGAGGATCTCAGCCCAAGGTGTCCCCACTACACCACCTCTACACCACTACAACACCTGTATTCCAGATACCTTCAGTGAAGGACTGATTCATTCAAAGGACCTGCCTCCCTACTCTATGTCAGAAATGTTGCTAAGTATTTGGATACCATGATAATTAAGCCACTGTTTTCCAAGAGGTTGTACCTGGCGGAGAGGCAGGTAGGTCACCACATGACAGACTCCAGACAACACCAAGTGTCCCACCAAGCAGCTCTTGACCACTTGGCTGCCCAAGCAGGGCAGAGCAGATCAGGATGCAAGGTCCTTAGTGAGCAGTGCAGGTGGTCCAGATTGATGGTACCCTGATGACGGTTGTGAAAGTGTCCAAACAATGTGAGAAGAAAATAACGGGACCAACGGTCCCCGAAGGACATGAGAATGTGGGAGGTAGGGGAAGGGAGGAGGTGTTGGCCAACCCAGGGACAAGGGAACAAGTGGTTCAAAACCA